ACGTGTTTTCTGTTGTTTCTAAGAATTTTAATATATTAATTAATTCGAGAATGCTTTGCGGGTGACGCCACGCTCGCACCTGTTTTTTGAAGGCTTTCTGGTGGCATTGGATTTTCCTGAGCGTAACGGCATCGCCACGTCACTCTCTAAATCCGCAACATGAGAATGAACTTAACCCTAGAAAATCGCCAGATGCGCCCGTCACGTTTTGTCCCTTTCACATTTCGTGAGTGGTGTGGCGATGCCCTAAGGGCCTCGCCGCGCTACTCCCCAAATGCCCAAAAGACAAAACTGACGGCGGAAAAAAAAAACAAAAAACTGACGGCGGGTCATCTTTCCACGTTCCAGCGGAAGATTCATCTCTCGACATGCACAAAAGACAAAAAATTCTCGACGTGCACAAAAGACAAAAATATTGGCCGTGTATCTGTGCATATTCTACCGTAAGATTCACTCTCGGCTTACACATTTCGAGAGTAGTGCACCTATTCTATTCGCGTGAGTTGTGCGGCTGCCCGCCCTAAACCGCACCTCTCATCTCTTTTCTTTTTTTCTTTTTCTTTTTCTTTTTTTGTAACCAATCATCAGAATAGGCGGGAGGAACGTCCCACACTCGAAGAGGACTTGATTAGGCGGCTTGAGGGCCTCGGTGCACTACTCCCGACATGCACAAAAGACAAAAATCTTGGCGGTGTATCTTCCGAATTCTAGCGGAAGATTCACTCTCGTTTTGCACATTTCAATAGTAGTGCAGCGAGGCCCTGAGTCTTGACGGGGGAAAGGTCCCACTTGCGCAAATTAGGAGATGTCGGCCGTTGATCTTTGCTATCTACGGTCAGTATCTCTTAATTCGTGCTAGTGGGACCTAGCCCCGGGGCTAGGTCCCACTTACGCGAATTAAACGATACTGACCGTGGATAGCAAAGATCAACGGCCAGAGTCTCTTAATCCGTGCAAGTGGGACCTTGCCCCGGGTTGAGGGGCTCGCTCACACTCACAGGGCGCCGCTACACTACTCTCGAAATGTGCGAAGTGAGAATGAACTTGCCGCTAGGAACATGGCCAGATGCGCCCGCCACAGTTATGTCCTTTTCTTTTTTGTTTTTTTTGAGCCAGTTATGTCTTTTTCACTTTCACATTTCGAGTTTCGAAAGTGGTGTGGGGACGCCCACAGTCTGCTCCCAGCTGAACTGAAGAGTCCTTTTTTTTTTTTTTTTTTTTTTCCCCTTTTTTTGTCGTCAGCTTTTTTTTTTTTTTTTGTTTCCCCTTCTTTTGTCGTCAGCTTCGCAGTTGCAGAGTGACTGGTTCCGTCGTGTGAGGGCCTCGTTGCACTACTCGCCATCCGCCAACATTTTGATTGCATGTGGACATGATAGTTGTCCAGATGCATTCGAAATCTTGGCGGATGGCGAGTAGTGCAATTACTGGTAGGGCCTGAGTACGCCCTCAGTGGGGGAACACAGAACGCTGGTTCAAAAATCGGCGCGCAGTGGCTCTGGCAGCAGCAGTAGCAGGTCTGCTGAGGTACGCGACGCCGGACTCGCTGGCGCGCGCAGACCCCCTACTAGGGGCATTTGCCCAGCGGGAGAGGGGGGGGTCGAGGTGGGGAGGGGGGG